CCACCAACAGGTGCAACAAAATTACCAAATCGACATAGAATCGAGCTGTAAGCGTATAAGAACAAAGGTATACACATTAGTAATGATGCTTCCGTATAATTATAAAATAGAAGATGCGGTTAGTGGAAAATCGGCTAACCTTGAGCCTAAGCCATAGTCTCTGGCCACCTCTGGTGATAGTGACACGGTCTCGAATGGTATACCTCTACTGATGAACTCAGAACGAGCGAAATATGATAAATCTCTGAGATCCGACTAAAAACAATTGAAAAAAAGCTTGTTCAAACAATATGGGTAAAAATTACCTGAGATAAAGACTTTGCCAAACCACTGACATCAACTCCGAAGAAGGAATCGCTTACTGGAAGGAAAATGTACAGCGATGCTGCTTCACAAAAAATACTGGTAGTCACCTTCATTATGATAGTCGGTGATTGAGATCTTGTTTTTGAGACCTTCCGATAAAACAGCTGCTAACATTATGCTACATGATCTCCAGTAAGCCTAGAACAAGTAGAGAGGAATTTTGATGTTAACAGTGGTCTATGGTTGTCACGAAACTGACAGAAAACAACAGCAGAACATTGCCGCGGTACCTTTCCTCTTCAACTACAAGTATCTTAGCGAGTGTCAGGTATGATAAGACAGGAAGTTCGAAATTAATGCAGAAAGGCACTCAATACTGCGCACTAACAAACAGACAAACGCAACTTTGAATTGAAAATACAGAGTGTCCCAAAAAGATGTGCACACTGCTTGATCGTTAATAGCTCTCTTGCTTTCAGGTCTTCCGCCGAGCTTAAAGTACCATTCTGTAGAGCGAGGTTTATCTTAGATTTACTGTATTGAACGAATCACAATCACTGTTCATTACGGTAGAATTACGGTTTGAAGTTTCAGTATGCAGCACTACCGCACTGAATAGGTCTTCTGATGAAAAAAATTCCAAATATATGGATGCTTATAAAGCTAGGTTTTCTGGCGTGCTGTTTCACTACCCAATTTTTTACCAGTTTCCCGAACTTTCTTAGTGTTGTAACCACACTTCCAACGAACATTGCAAAACAGCTGTTACCTAAATCTGAGATAGCTTATGAAAGAAGCATTAAGTGCAAATTTCATATTTGAATTAGCGACTTCTATTATTCCATTACAACTGTTTTTGGCTTGTTTGGTTTGCCTTCTGAGGCAAAAATTGGTTTCAACTTCCTACAATCCTTCTTGAGATTCCTACCGTAATTCTACACTAATGAAGAGCGTTTCACAACTCGATCCATACTGTAACAAAGTTGAACCTCGCTCCTACAGAACGGTACCTTAAAGGCAGTGTCCAGGCAAATCTGGGCACATGG